TTTGCAGCCAAAGATGATAGCATGTGGGAATAGCATAGCAGCTTTTTCAATGGCTGTGAGATTCCTTACAGGACCAGCTGTAATGGCTGTGGCTTCCATTGCTGTTGGGCTTAGAGGAGTTCTCTTACGAGTAGCCATTGTCCAGGTCACTCTTTCTCTCTCCTCTCTCTGCAACTTTTCTCTGACATTGCCTCTATCCTGCTTCCTCACTGCATATACTCCAAAAGCTTTCCCTTTTTTTAAAAAAACCAATGTAATATGTCAAATTCTATAAAGTTGTTGGATTATGAAAAAGATGGTTGCTTTTTGGCATGGTTTAAGAACGTCCATAGCAAAGACAGTATATTCTAGCGGTAGATTCAAAATCACCCTTTGCATGTATCTTAGAGTTGTAGGAAGGATCGTACGAATTATCTCAAAAAAATAGTTAAGATATATGTGAATTGGCTTGAAAATAACCTAGCAATATTGGACAAGTTATCTCGTGAGAATAGTTAAGGTGTTTGTATGGCTTGAAATGGGTACTCACCCATACAAAAGACCTAGTTGTAAGGTCGGACAAGTCATCTCAGGAGAGAATAATTAAGGTGTCTATGAACTAAGTCATGTAAGTTATCCCGTGAAAATAGTCAAGGTATCTCTCAGCTCCGGCTTGGTTGGTAGAGTCATATAAGTTATCAGGTGAAAATAGTTAAGGTATCCCCTCAACTTGGACCTGGTTGGTAGAGAGTCATGACAATTACCCCGTGAAAATAGTTAAGATATATCTCTAACTCGGGCTTAGTTGGTAGAGTCATGTAGTTAAGGAGACATCTCTCAGCTCAAGCCTTGTAGATAGAGTCAGGTAAGTTATCCCGTGAAAATAGATAAGGTATCTCTTAGCTCGGGCCTAGCTTGGTTGTTGATTGTTGATGTGTTTGGAAACAAACATCTGTAGCTAGGTTTGTTTAACATGTTTTTGTGTCCCATTAGTTTGGAGTTTCCTACAAATTTATATCCATTTTTTGTTTATAAAAAAACAGGCAGCTCTCCCACAAGGAATTGTCCCCTTTGTCTTTGCGAAGGAGTACAACGTACACCCTGATATTCTCAGCACAGGGTATGTATAGCACCAATATCCTTAATAACTCCGACATTAAATCTCTGTTTTGTTTCAAAAAAACACAAAAAGATTTGATTTTTCTTCGTGGGTTTGCAGAGTTATCTTTGGAATGTTGATCGCTTTGCCTATCACGCTTGTTTACTACATTTTGCTGGGGATTTGAGGCTGCCATGGAAGCCAAGGTCAGCCATGGCTGCGTCCGCCATGGGAGACCATTTCAAAAGCTTCAAAGCTTTGGGAGAGAAGATTTTAACAGGGAAAAAGATAAAGGAGAAGAAGAAAGAGGAGAGATTTGAGGGAAATGGGGAAAATTCTTCCAAGAAAAGGGGAAAAAACAGGCTGTAAAATCATTATGTTTGGTAGTCAATTATATAAGAAAAAAAATGTTTTGGTTTTTTTATCTTTTTTTTTTTTAATTTATTTAATTTTTTAAAAGTTTGAAACTCCATAAATTATCAATTTTTGTTTCTTAAATTAAAAAGTTATTGAATTATTTTATGAAAAAAAAAAGGACAATTATAGACCATGAATTCTTGCCTAATACGAGGTTACTTTAGCTGTAATGAGAGTGCAAATTGAGATGGATTGATCTTCGCTATCGTGCACATTTCAACTACCAATTGATGCTACAATGCCTAGTATGAGGTTGCTTTAGCTCCAAACACCATCCCTACCCGAACCCAACTGACAGAGGTACGGGTAATCCCAACGATAGTGTAGATTGAGATGTGTTGATCTTTGCTATCGTGCACCTTTCAACTACCTGTTGATGCTACAATGCCTAATATGAGGTTACTTCAACTCCAACGAGAGTGTAAATTGAGGTGGATTGATTTTGCTATCGTGCACATTTCAACTACCAATTGATGCTACAATGTCTAGTATGAGGTTGCTTCAGATCCAACGACAGTGTAGATTGAGATGTGTTGATCTTCGCTATCATGCACATTTCAACTACCGATTGATGCTACAATGCCTAGTATGAGGTTGCTTAAGCTCCAATGACAGTGTACATTGAAATGTGTTGATTTTCGCTATCGTGCACATTTCAACTACCAGTTGATGCTATAATGCCTAGTATGAGGTTGCTTCAGCTCTAATGAGAGTGCAAATTGAGATGGATTGATCTTCGCTATTGTGCACATTTCAACTACCCGTTGATGCTACAATGCCTAAAATGAGGTTACTTCAGCTCCAACAAGAGTGTAAATTGAGATGGATTGATCTTCACTATCGTGCTCATTTCAACTGCCAGTTGATGCTACAATGCCTAATATGAGGTTACTTCAGCTCTAACGAGAGTGTAAACTGAAATGTGTTGATCTTCGCTATCGTGCACATTTCAACTACCGGTTGATGCTACAATGCCTAATATGAGGTTACTTCAGCTCCAACGAGAGTGTAAATTGAGATGGATTGATTTTCGTTATCGTGCACATTTCAACTACCGATTAATGATACAATGTTTGATATGAGATTGCTCTATGATGCTTTTATTGATTTAACAGATAAGGGTTTGGAGACATTACTAAATTAATTAGACAACCTTAAATGTGGAGGATAAAAATGGAATTATAAATATTAATTAAATTAATATTAAATTCAAGAATAATAAGAATAAGGTGAGAAGAGGGCTTTATTTTGATATGGACCCCTTTAGAATATTAGGGGACAATTTTTTTTTAAAAAAATATATTATTTTTAATTATTTCTCTATTTACTTTTTTTTTTCTCACACTCCTTTCTACATCTCCTACATTCTTCACTTTTTACTGACACATTTTTCTTTTTCTTTTTTTTAATTGATTTTTATGTTTTTTTTGTGTGGGGGTAGTTTTGGAATTTTATCTACCAAAAATGAAAGAAAATAATTAATAATTACAATTAATTAGGACTAATAATTATAAATTATAACAAATTTTGAAGTTAAGGATGGGTCGTTGTCCAAATTGGTATCAAAAAGTTCCTATGACCATATTCATTTATTAAATTAATACTTTATTTGCATGCTTAATCATGATTAGTAGCCCATTTGCAATAATAATAACAACACATTTATTTTTATCAATATTAAATTTAGACAATAGATTAAATTCAAATAGAAAAAACCAGGTAGGAATGAACGAGACTTAATCATAATAAAGATGAAATCATGGTCTAAATGATAACCTTAGAGGGTCAAAAGCTTATAACCCGACCAAACCTAAACTCGAAACGGTCGAGTGAATTTGAGCTCATGAGGGCATGCTCTCGTACACCCTAATGGCCTCGACAATCCCTGCATCCCTTGTGACATGGTTAGGTTACTTATACTCCTACAACCCGTCCTACTAGATGACGATGTAACCCCAAAGTAGCCGGTATAAGATGGAAAGTTCTTGATTCCTAGTTTCACGTTTGTCAGACTATAACCATAAGAATCTTTAGTTAGATGAGATTCCAACTTAGATACCTAGTCATGTCAAACGATGGTTCAATCTCACGATGCTTCGAATTTTCAGCAAAAATCATATTAAATAAATATTTTAATGCTAAGTGTATATACTAAAATTATAATATAAGGTTTATATTTACATAAAATTTAAATATAAATAGATAGAAAGAGAGGGAAATGTAGTAGGGACATGACAGTCCACAAAAGATTGTCGTGGGAAGGGCCGACCCGACAAAATTTAGTGGCAGACAATCTAAGCTTTACCGAAACCTCCCTATCCCTTCTCATTTTTACCTTTTCTTTTTCTTTTTTCCTTTTCTACAAATAACACTCATTTTTCCTTTTCTACCCTTATTTCTATTTCTTTTTAATCAACCCATGTAAATATGTTAGCCATTAAATTACTTTTCAGAAGTTGGGCCTTTCAAATTCAGAACGTGGGCCTACGTGAGATAAGCCTTTCAAATGCAGAACTTGGGCCTACGTGAGATGGGCCTTCCAAATTCAGAAGTTGGGCCTACGTGAGATGGGCCCTTCAAATTCAGAAGTTGGGCCTACGTGAGATGGGCCCGTCAAATTCAGAAATTGGGCCTACGTGAGATGGCCTTTCAAATTCAGAGTTCGGGCTACGTGAGATGGGCCTTTCAAATTCAGAACTTGGGCCTACGTAAGGTGGGCCTTTGAAGTTCCGAACTTGAGCCTACGTGAGATGGGCCTTTGAAGTTCCGAACTTGAGCCTACGTGAGATGGGCCTTTCAAGTTCCGAACTTGGGCCTACGTGAGATGGGTCTTTCAAATTCAGAACTTGGGCCCTTTGGTCCCACATCTCAAGAACTCTTCTTACAATCCATTTGTAGGGTTTTATAAATAAACTAATGGCTAAATTACAACTAATAAATCTTAAATTTTTTATTTTATATAAAAAATCGTAAAGTTTTAACATTTTTTTTTCTCCGTGCTTCTCAATTATAGAAATAAATTTTATGGTTAAACGTGTTTTACTTTGGAGCAAATATATGTTGGACAACCTCTTAAAATTTTTCTCAGAATGTACGTGAGTGAGGACAATGCATTCTGAAAGAACTCGTGATAGTATGTGGGGATAATATTATTGGAGAATGTCGGGACCGACAGATGCCGAACCTAGATTTAGAATATTAGGCATGAGTCACTACGAATAATAATAATGATAATAATGTTGGCATCATTATTATTATAATATTAACACAAATACACAAAAATAAATAATTTGTATCTTTTTATAGTAATTTTAAAGTATATGACAAAATGAACTTAGCAAATACCATAATTGTTAGATGCCAAATATAAAAATATTGTAAGTTTAGCTAATTAGAGATGAGCCTCTCCCCGCTGTCTCTCCATTTTCATCCTTCATTAAATGAACATCTAGTTGTACTCTTTAACTTATAATAAAAAATTGAGAGAGGCGTTCATACTGTGCTTGGTATAAATAGGGTCCGCCAAAGTCGGGAATTTTCGACGTCAACAGAGAGGGAGAAGCGCTTACAGTTTCCGCAGCCGTGGAATGCAGCAGAGAGGAAGACTAAACAACCGAAGATCCAGGAGCTTTTCTAGATCTCGCCTCGCCGTTGAGGGTTCATAGGCTTTAGTTATATTCCTCGGCCCTCCTCGCTCTCACATTCTCCGTTTTGGTTCTAATCAGTGGCAATGGCTTCTGCTCAGATTGGTGGTAAAAGTTCTCATTATTTCTTTGCATTATAATTCATGTAGTGATGGTGTTTCTGTTCGAACTCTTGTGATTGAATCGGTTGCTTTTGTGTTTCAAAGAACAAGAGCGCGAGGTGCAGAAGAACTACTGGACGGAGCACTCCGCGGATTTGACTGTGGAGGCGATGATGCTCGACTCTCAGGCCTCGAATCTTGACAAGGAAGAGCGACCTGAAGTAATGCTTCTCGCTGCATGTTCTTCACTAGTCTCGGCTTACCTTCATTTCTTTTTTTGTTATAATTCATTATTTGGCTTGGTGGCAGATGTTGTCGTTTTGTCTGGTTTAAGATCTGTTCTTCTCGGTTTTTGTCGCTAAAATACTACTGGTTCCTACTGTTCACATAGTAGAGAAGAATGTTGTTTAGTAGTATCATGTCTCGAAAAATCTTCTTCCTAATTTTCAGTAGCACAGTTTTAAATAGTTCCAGTTATGAAGCTGGATGATTCGGTTCATTCATTGAATCTCAGGATTACATGCATTGGAAATGCAGACGGAGTCAATACATTCTTTCTTATCTATTATGTTTAGATGTGGAAATGTAGGATGTAGTGTAAATCAGTGTTTAAGATGTTCATGGTTCTTAAACTGTCCGTCCACAGGTACTTTCTTTGCTTCCCCACTATGAAGGAAAATCTGTCTTGGAACTTGGAGCTGGAATCGGCCGTTTTACTAGCGAATTAGCCCTGAAGGCTGGCCAGCTTATTGCTCTGGATTTCATAGAAAATGCTATAAAGAAGGTAAGGTTTAACATCTATTCATATTGTATCAATACGCGACTGCTGTTTTATACTTGTACGGAATTATTTTCTTTATCTTATCATCTTAATGTTCTAACTGTAGAATGAAAGCATCAACAGGCACCACAAGAACGTCAAGTTCCTATGCGCAGATGTGACTTCTCCAGAGCTTAGCATTTCCAATGGATCAATTGATTTGATATTCTCCAATTGGCTGCTAATGTACTTGTCTGATAAAGAGGTACTGCCTATCTTTTGGTGCTATTGGAGCCCCTGGATGCACACTACATGAGATCATAGTCTTCGATTTATGACTTGTGATGCATTGTTGATAGAATGAGAAAATCAGAAAATGTTTTACACTTTTGTATATGCATGCTTTCTAGTTGGTTGTTTGTTCAAGATTAGAGTATTTGGAGTCTTTTTGTATTTGGGGTCTTAAAAATCCAGATCCAAACTCTCATTGAAAGTGAAATGGTGTTAGCCTATTGCCTAGTCTGCGAAAGCTGTGGCTAATTCTTAGATCCACCAAAGAGTGAACTGAATAATATATGCATTATATCTTCGTTGCTATGGAACATAGTCAGGTTGGTTTGTTAAATAACACAATTAGTCTGTCTAGCACGAACTGTTTCAGATTTCTTTTTGTCAATCCAGGTGGCAAAAAGAAATTCAGGTTTTAATTTTAATTTTTTTTTCATTGTAGCTATTATGTAAGTGTAATCTATTCTGCTCTATACTGTTCCTCTTTTGTTGCTAGGTGAAATTTCATTCAGCTATTTTCATTTCAGTCTACAAAGTTCTTCTATTGGATAAATTGTTCATTAAATCCTTGAGTTTAATTTTTTGCAATCTTAGTTAGATTTAGACTAAGCCTGCTTATTTTTTATTGTCCTTCCAAAAAACTGATTCATTGTTATAACCATAGGTGGAGAATTTGGCTGCAAGGATGATTAAATGGTTGAAGGTTGGTGGATATGTCTTCTTCAGAGAGTCATGTTTTCATCAGTCTGGAGACTCCAAGCGCAAATACAACCCAACACATTACAGGGAACCCAGATTTTACACAAAGGTTGTTTCCGTCTGCTTTTTTTATTAGTTTCACTAGTTTTTTTACCCCTGTGAAACCTTGAGATTTTGTGTATTAACTATATGACAATGTCTATTTCTCATCGTTCAACTTCAACAGAGCATCATCATTTAAAAGATTTTAAAAAATCAACAGATTGTCTTCTGATGACGTAGTGCTGGAATTATGATAATAAAAACGAATGATGTGCCATGGACAGTTCATATATGCATTAGTCCTGATTTTATAGTATATGAAAAAGAAGTGTTTTTCTAGGTTGACAATCCTAGCATAATAGACTCCATCTGCGAAACTTTTTCTGATTCAAAATGGTGTTTACTATGTATATGGTTATGTTTTTGTCTCTTGAAGTGCGTGACTTTACATCCTTGCCATCACTTTTACTTCGTCTCAAGATTATAAGAGACAAGTACGTCTGATGTGTGCCAGGTTGATTTCCTATTTGGCTTTTATGTGAAGTTTTTCTATTTATACTTGGCATGTGAGTGCTTAGCATTTAGATTATGGTATTCCCAGCTTGAACTTTTTTTTTACATCATCTGCAGATTTTTAAGGATTGCCAAATACGTGATGAGTGTGGGAACTCCTATGAACTATCCCTTGTAAGCAGCAAATGTATAGGAGCTTATGTACGAACTAAGAAGAACCAAAACCAGGTACTTACTGGCGGAAGTTGTTCTAATTATTCCTTTTAATGTTTCTTTATGTTTATTACTAACAAAGTTTACATTTCATTTTTACTTAGATTTGCTGGATATGGCAGAAAGTCTTTTCACAGGAAGACAGAGGATTCCAGAGGTTTTTAGATAATGTTCAATATAAATGTAATGGCATCCTGCGCTACGAGCGTGTATTTGGTCAAGGTTTTGTCAGTACAGGAGGAATGGGTAAGCCTTATTATTGAAGCCTCTTCTTCTGCTCTGCTGCCATTATCTCTCTAATCTTTTCAATGGGAATGTATTTTGATGATTTAATAAAATTGTGTCAGCACATTGAAATTTGAGTACATTTTCGGCAATATTTCGACCACTCAAGTAATCAATGTGTCGTCTAATTGAGGAGGGCAAGTTTGAAACATCCGAATACCAAATGTTCTATGCTAGATAAATCTAAGCTTGAGACCTGTGAACCAAAGGGTTCTTTAGTGATTGATCTATTTATATATTTATTTTTTATAAGAAACAATTTCATTGTTACACAAATTACTCTATTTGATTTAATTGGTATTTATTAAATTTCTACCTTTTCCATTTATCTAGAGACCACCAAGGAATTTGTTTCAAAGCTAGAGCTGAAGCCCGGTCAAAAAGTTTTGGATGTTGGTTGTGGCATTGGGGGAGGTGACTTTTACATGGCAGAGAACTTCGATGTCGAGGTTGTTGGCATTGATCTCTCCATCAATATGATTTCTTTTGCTCTTGAGCGGGCCATTGGACGCAAATGCCCAGTTGAATTCGAGGTTGCCGATTGTACCAAAAAAACCTATCCAGATAATACTTTTGACGTAATATACAGCCGGGACACAATATTACACATTCAAGTAAGAGATATCTTCATGTTCCTCCGCCATCTTGTTTTTGACTAATTATGTTGAACTGGTTGACAATTTCCCAACTCAGCATTTTTACAACAAATGAACCTCATGTTCGTGTCCAGACACACACACACGCACACGCACACATATCGATATATGAACTTCATTTTCCTTTATGCATTTATTGGAAATTATTAGAATGTTTTTATTGTACATAATTTTGATAATTTGATCAAGCTACAGATCATTACCGTATAAAATGATGTTTCAATAAGGTAATCCTGCAAGATATGTCTGTTATAATTGGTCATTTAGCGTATTTGTTTTTCCCTTTCTTTCTCTTTGGAGTCTGCATATTCAATATCTGAACTATTAATCCATTGCAGGATAAACCTGCGCTGATGAAATCCTTTTACAAATGGTTGAAGCCAGGAGGTAAGGTTCTTATCAGTGATTATTGCAGAAGCGGTGGAACTCCCACAGACGAGTTTGCTGAGTATATCAAGCAGAGAGGTTATGATCTACATGATGTAAAGGCATATGGTCAGGCAAGTTCAACCATCTCATTCACCCCTCCCATGGTCACTGTCTATTGTTTTCTAACCATGCAAGCTCATCAGTGATTTTACATCTTCAACAGATGCTGAGAGATGCTGGCTTTGATGAGGTTACTGCCGAGGATCGCACCGATCAGGTATTATTGTTTGCTCATTAAATCCATAGCAGTGAAAACTACGATGATGATGTGCTTCTGTATCTGAAGATCTACAAGTTTGCACCTCTCAGTTCATTCGAGTTTTGCAACGCGAATTAAGTACTTTAGAAAAGGAGAAGGAGGAATTCGTTCAGGACTTCTCTGCGGTGAGTTTTCACATTTTTCTCACACTTGCGCTGTAGTATTTACTTCTATTTTGGTGTCTTTTTTCCTCACTCACTTGGGGGATTTGGGTTTAATTCAGGAGGACTACAACGAAATAGTAGATGGTTGGAAAGCAAAACTAGCCCGGAGCTCCACCGGTGAGCAAAGATGGGGACTCTTCATTGCCAAGAAAAAGTGATCATAATTTATGCTTTATTTTTATTGCAGTTTTTTGTTTGAAATCATTTGGAACCTTGAGTTTCCTTACTTCACTTGATACACAAACAATCTTAATATCACTATTTTGGTATGTCTTTTGCTTCTGATTTCAACAATGTAGGTGGAAATCAAACCATCAACTTTTAGAAGGTAACAATGTCTAATCTACTCAAATATTGATAGCGGTTGGGTGGCTTTAGTCGTGTATTAGGTATTGATAAGTCGCTGTTAAGTGGACCACGAACATTTGTGATTGTGAATTGTGCTGTGGCATGGGGTATGGAAAAGATTCTAGGCCTCTTGTCCACACCCTTGCCTTTGCTCATTCACGTGGAACTTTATTCAAAATTTCCTTGTCACCTTCACGTTCACGTCTCTACTAGTTACAGCTTTTCATGTTATATTTGGTGTGTCATCCTTTCACGAGGTGGCATTCAAAATTTTCCTCACCAACTGTATAATTGTCCTTTTCTAAAAAGTTTATTTCGAATCTTTGTGTTAGAAACATAAAATTTACCCCATTTAAAATCAAAATTATCATATGGTAAAACAATGAATTTCAATCAAATTTTATCTCTACCATGATTACATTACCTATAAAAGGAAAAACATTCTCAATGGTTCATCAAACTTTATGTTTGCTTGGGCCATATTTTTAATTCTCTTTATTTTTGGCATTGCTTTTCCAAGTCTTTCTAAATTATATTAATTTTATATTTTCAAGATAACTCTCGTTCGAATATAGTCCAAATTCATCAATGTATCTCTCATTTACTCTCTATAGAACGACCCCATCTATGGCCTCTACAGAGGGAGCAATGCCCGAATAGATTGGTAAATCTTCAAATGTCGAACAAAGGACTCCAAAAGAAAAAGGAGGAGTCGAGCCTCCACGAAGGCACTCCAAAAGAAAAAGGAGTCAGGCATAGTATGACTAAAGACTCCAAAAGAAAAAGGAGTCAAGCCTCGGTGTTGAATGATGAAAGTCCCACATCTAATTTAGGGATTGATCATGAGTTTATAATCAATGAATACTCTCTTCATTGGTACGAGACCTTTTGGGAAATCCCAAAGCAAAGCCATGAGAGCTTATGCTCAAAGTGGACAACGTGTTCATCCAACACTCTATGGAGGGGTAAATCAGTAAGCAACATATTGCAGGCTTTCATCACATCTTTAGATACAGATAGTCACTAGATAGGCTAAGGTATATATATATATATATATATATATATATATATATATTTTGATGGTTGTTCTTGGTACCTGAAAGTTTATGTCCTTGTANCAGAAAATGAGTTCGGACAGGGTGTGCGAATCCCTAATGCAGACCAAAGGAAAGGACTCAGCGCTGCATTCAACTAAATTTCCAGTCTTGAATTGAGCTAACTTCCACCAACAGGCAAAAAAAAAAAAAAAAAAAAAAAACAAACAAACAGGAAGAGCTGCATGCATGAGAAAACATAGCACAAAAAGGGCATATTTTTAATCTGCTATGTGTGTTGAAATTTCAGAACACAGCATAAAAATGGCATATTTTTCTGTACAAGAAAGATTTGATTAAAAAAAGAGGAAGTGGGTGTAGAGAGTACGTGGGTGCAGCCTATCTGAGATGGTGAAAATGGAGATTTGATTAAAAAAGAACATAACATTCATTCTGAACAATTCACAAACCCTAAACTTCTGTCTGTTTCTGTGTGTTTTTTTTTTTTTTTTAAAAAAAAAAAAGCAAAATGGTTCATAAATCTCTTAGCTCAGCTGCTAATTCACTGCAAAGCCTGTCTGCTTCGCTGTAATTTCTAATGTTTTCCTCTTCTCTCTCTCACAACCATGCACTGCAAACTTCATTAAACAGACATGACTGCATAAAGTTGTGGGGTTTTCAGAGACGAGACATCCTCATTTTTCTCACTCTAATCAGAACTCTAAATGGGTTTAAGAGTCAACCACACACATCAATTATAGGACCCCATTTCACTTCACCTTGTGTTCCTCACTAAAACCTATAAACTTTTGATTTTAATGTTTTTGTAACATGAGTGGTGATGAGACAAGGGTATGAGATTGTGTCATGGCATCTCTACCTTACGAAGGTCAGCCATACACTTAGATAGACTCGAGTGTTAGGCTAAGGTGAGTCAAAATGTATTTGTGACGTTTGAGTAAAAGAGTAGTACATAAATAAACCGAGACCACATTTGAATGTGTAACCGTCCAAGCCTGTCGGTAGCTGACGCGTTTTAAAACCTTGAGAGAAAGTCCAAAAAAGGAAAGCCCATAAATGACAATATCTGCTAGCGGTAGTCTTGGACTATTGTAAATGATATTATAGCCAGACACTAAGTGGTGTGCCAGTGAGGACGCTAGGCCCCCAAGGAGGTGGATCAGTGAGGACGCTAGGTCCCCAAGGAGGTGGATTGTAAGATCCCAAATTGGTTGGAAAGGGGAACGAAGTATTCCTTACAAGGGTGTGGAGGAAACTTATTTATGCTTTTTAAAACCTTGAGAGGAAGCACAGACAGAACAACCCAAAGAGGACAATATCTGCTAGAGGTGGGTTTGAACTGTTATTGAATGAGAATGATCTTGAAGATGAGATTCTTCCGAAAAACTTAAAAGAATTGAAGCTATTACCTATACTAACAATGTGTTTGTCTGTAGAGGTAGTTTTCGTTCTTAAAAACGAGTAACGTGACAATGTCACACGAAAATGTCGGGATAACAGACTTTCAGAGGTTTGAACGTATGATAATCAATCATGATATGATTCTATGGCCAAACGAACCAAAGAAATGCCAAAAGCCCCATTAGAAGTTAAAGTCCACCCTATGGGGAATTCGTCCATCTCTCGATTGGTTTGTGCAGAAGAAGTTAAATTCCGAGCGGTTTGTTTAACATTTTGGGAGCAAAATAATGTAAGAAGTTAAATTCCGAGCAGTTTGTTTAACATTTTGGGAGCAAAATAATGTAAACTTAAAAGTATAAGACAGATGTGTACCACTTAGAACATCTGTAATTAAAGGGTTTGGTGAGATGAATTAATCTTATAGGCCATAACCAAATTTATAACATTGCCACCATTAATGCAAACAAAAATAGTCACACGTAGGTACGAACATTAATACAAACAAAATGTAGCTAAGTCGTTAAGATATCTGCTTACCTTTCAAAGAACTAATCCACACCCTTATAAGAAATGAACGTTATGTTCTCTTCTTCAATCAATGTGAGATCTTACAATCCATCCCTTTGAAGGGTTTAAGGTTTAGGGTTTGCGGTGTGAAGTTTCGTTCCCCTTTTCAACTGATGTGAGATCTCATGATCCACTCCCTTAGGGGCCCAGCATCCTTGCTCCTCTCTCACTGATGTAGGATATCACAATTCACCCCCTTGGAGGTCAGCATCCTCACGGTGTGATGTTTCATTCCCCTCTCCCATCGATATGGGATCTCACAATCCACCCACTTAGAGGTCAGCATCCTTGCAGTGTAATGTTTCATTTCTCTCTCAAACCGATATGATATCTCACGATCCACCCCCTTGAGGGTCAGCATTCTCGTTGGCACACCCCTTGGTGTCTCTATTTTTCCTTCGAGCTTCCCCTAAAGGCGTTGAAATGCATCATTTCTCTCTCCAATTAATGTGAAATCTCATGATTGGTGAGGGTTTTTTTTTTCAATTAATGCTATCTCAAACATCGATACCTCCAAAGTTTAGAAATTGAAATGGGACAAAAAGAAGTGAAAAATAATAATAATAATAATAATAAAAAAAGTAATAGTAGAGGAGGGTAGGGAGACAAAAAGGGTGTTTGATTACGTATTGAAATCAGAGAATTGGAATCTATTCTTACTTTGTTTCCAAACGATCCTTTGTTTCTTCCATTCTTTTCCTTCTGATTCTCACTTTTATTTTCTGCTCATTTCAACACATTACTTAACCCTTCCACAACATTTCATTCTTGGTCAACAACATTACAAACCAAAGACAAAAAAGCTGTCTTGTTTTGCAGACAAGTTGACTTCCCATCTTCTCTCAACTGTTCCAAAAAAAAAAAAAAAATATATATATATACAATATCCACTAGCCGTAGACTTAGACCATTACATTCTAATTCATCTGCGTTTCAACTCACTTGTTCATAATCATAGTGAACAATCGAACTTATAATTTCGTTGATTCATTTGATTGAAGGGGAAATGGGTTTGTGTCTAAAACATCCAAACCTTTTTTTGTTGGTTGTTTTGTTGGTGTTATTATTATTAGTGATAATGTAATAGAGAGAGAGAGGGTAGGGTTCTGAGAAGGTGCAGTGTGTAGCCCCTTGGCCCTCTCCCCAACCAGCCCCTTCTCTTTCTTTTCTTTCCTTCCCACAAATAATTAAACAATTATTATGCCTTTCATTTCAAATGCTTGCCTTCTCTCAGAGAGAGACAGAGAGAGAGAGAGAGAGAGAGAGAGGCTCGAAAATTGAGTCATTCCTATCATAATGACCAAAGGACTATGGATTCAGAGAGAGAGAGAGAGAGAGGGAAAGATACAAATAAATAAACTGCATGGGGGTAGCAGGCAATGGATTCAGATATTGGACGTCCATTAACTTCTACCTCTTTAAATACGACAAAAATATAGTCTTAGTATCTTATTTAAGTCTCAATTCGATCTTCAGAAAAATAAATAAAGAATTTTGTAGAAACATGAAATGAAATAGGAGACAAGGCGGGAATGAGAAAGGCTTCTCCGTCCTTGTCTTCACTCACCTTAGTCTAATGGAAAATTTTGCATGAATAGGAAATGAAATAGGAGACAGAAAGACTTTTCTGTCTTTGTTTTCATGGTATGGACTTCTTGAGTCCTTAGTTTAATGGAGAATTTTACAGGAATAGACGGAGCATGAACGAGAAAGACTTCTCCGCCTTTATCCTAATGAATGTTAACCATGTTAGTCATATTGCGTTAGTCGTATTGTAGCAGTCTCGTCGAATAATTCATAATTTTTGGAAGGGAGAGAGATTTGGTATGATTAGAGGAGAGAGTGGAAATGAAGGGTGATAGAAGAGGGTAAAATAAGGGTATGGTGGCGTACACAAAATGACAGCAAAAATGAATGAGAGAGAGAGAGACAGAAGATGAGGGGCAGTTTGGATTTAGAATAAGATTGATAGCCACAACACATTAGGATTACAATTAATGACAGACCACCCTCCCCCAGAGAGAGAGAGAGAGAGAGAGAGAGAGAGACAGAGACAGAGAGAGAGACAGAGAGATAAAGAGTGTCTTAATAATGTATGTATGTGTGATGAGGCTTATCATAACCCTCATCATCGTCAAGTCGTTTTACATTCACTTCTCCCAAAAAAAACAA